CTGCCCTTTTCCATCGTCCACACAATAGTCTCCATCATCACGCCAAACAAACAACCGCTGACCCTGCCCAAGAAGGTATGCGTGTCTTTGTGGAATTTTGCCATTTGGCGCTGCTCATAAAAATCTTATTTACTGTTCGTCGGAAGGCGAACAGGTGTCTAAATTGGCGAACTTCTACATGCCGGCCTTATCCTCATCCGGGTTTCCCCCCTCCCTTCATTGTATCCCAACCACACTCTCGTCTATCCAGAAGCCGTAACATTGGTTTTGGTTGTGCAACCAGGAAGGAGGACAAACATCAGACATCAACGTCATTCCCGAAAGCCAGAAGTACTTAAAGACTTGATTGACTGCGACTAATCAGACCTTTTGATAAATACAATCTGCTCGGAAGTGGAGATAATTTCGAATGATGTGAATAGAACGATTTACTGGTCAGTACAGCAACGGCTCTCCAAATAAGTTGCCTAAAACGTTTCTGACTACGCATAAAACAAAATAATTTCATTCTCGGTCCACTTTGGTAAATCGTCGATTTTGTTGTGGCAGTAATTAGGCTGATATTTGTGAAAATTGGCCTTTTAGAAATGCTATGGCGATTAGTTAAATTAAGACCGTTCTAATCAGATAAGGGACGGTGAGGGTGGAATTACCGGAAATATTGTTGAAAGTACTTAAAACATTCTCGGCTAAAAATCTTTGTCAAAGATGAATTTTAATTGACTCGGAAAAAAATAACATATGGGCAGCACATATGCGTCCCCATCACATCCAGCAGTCGCCTGAAGCTGTTTCATCTTCCAACTAAGAAGAAACAAACCCTTTGTCCTGAAAAAGTTCGTGGAGAAATGAGACTTGCAATCATGAAGTTGCAAAAAAAATATTTCGACGCTAAATATGTGTTTTTTAAAGACCTAAAGTTTCTGAAAGCTCCCAAGTTTCCTAAAGCTGCTTCAAAATGCCCCACTTGCTTCTTTCAGCTGCTTTTGGCACCAGAGAGACCGCGAGCTCTGTTCCGGGGGCAGCTTACAAGAAACGCGGAAACAGCTAAATGATTTAGGTTGCCAGTGTGTATGCCGCGCACTCAGGTGACATTTGTGGTCTGATTATCAGCCCAAGCAAGATAAGGCCGGGTTACCCCGTCAGTTGACAACATTCATGCCACGACAACTGGGTTTCGGTGACAGGTTCATGCTTGCCAAACCCATGTTAGTGCGTAATTCCCTGCTTTGCCGTGGGGATGGATACGTCCTGAACATTGGCTTCGCACGCCCTCTCTCCCTCATTGCCTTCTCCCCGGTATTGACCTTTAAACAAACACGTGTGAAAGTCACCACCGTGCTCACATCGTGGGGTATTGGGGAGTCGGGACGATTACGCACATCGACCGATCAGGATTGCAGGTGCTAGGATTCTCATCGCTAGCTTAAATGCTTGTATTGCACCATGTTTAGGCAGAATAAATGACAAATATCATTTGGGAGAAACCTTAGGTGGAATAAGCAGATAACTATGCTTTTAGTAACTCCTATGTTTTTCAGATTCTATCTGGTGTCTTAACTGGAGTGGGGTCAGACCAGCCCTGGTCTTAATGGTCCCTTCTTTATGTGGTCTCAGTGGCATTCCCACTCCGTTGAATCAGAGCTAGGTGTGGTGGCGCACTTAGAGGTGCTTCTGGCCACGCCAGCTACCCGCACCGGCCTCTCTCGCCTCCAATCCTCTTGACTTGGTCAGAATACACGGTCCAGGCAGAGGAGGACAGATTGCAGTAGATTTAGTGCAAATTAGGGTCTTCAAGGGCATTGCCTACTAACCTAGATATAAATAACTATACTGAACTAATTATACTCTCACTGCAATCTACTTGGCGCGCAAGTCGTCTCCCCACCACCAGCTTCATGTGGTGTACACGATGGACCTCATCCGAATGAACAAGCCAACTCTCAGCTGGAAGTCTCATGCAACTCGATTTGATGGGCTAAGCTTCATCATCGGTCTTCCTTACTGAAAACTCCAATAGTACATGACTGAAGAGGGGAAATAGAGTACATACTTCCCGTCCTATCCTAAATATGACGAAGTAGGAGTGACTTCGAAGGTCGGCGACAGCGGGAATGAATGGGCTTTCATCGGCAATTCACCCACAATATCCACGCCTATCTATAGTCATCATGGCCGTGTCTTGCCATCGGAACATACTGGCATGCAGTAAAGCAGATACTGGGAAGGTCGCCCTAAATAAAACCAAACTTTTTGCTAGTTCCTAGATGCTGCCCATCCGAGACCATGGTAGTTAAGAACGGACAAGCTTCTGGCTGGCTGAGGTCATCGTAAACACGAAAGACATCGTCAGCATTAAAAATCGGAGTCATCCGTTTTTATTCAAAATATTACCCAAAGTATGAATTTCCATTAAGTATCACAGGATGGCGCCAGAAGCCAAGTTTGAAATAAATAAAGACAGGAAACAGAGAAAGTGGGACTCAGGTTGGGTATAAATGTTTCTCAAAAACATGTTGCGCGCCTTTTAAATGCGGCGCGAGGAGGAAATATCCCACAAATAAGGCACAAAATACGGAAGCCATCGTGTGGACAGAAGTAAAAAGGAATATAACTGAATTTTGTTCAAACCAGATGCAGTCGAGGAGATGACGCAGGCAGTAGTCGCAAATTCAGGAGCAGGGACCGAGCAGAACAGTTTGTTACATTCAGACGTCCAGCAAACGCTTGCACCGGTCAACAATGAAGCAGAATGTCCAGGCCTGTGGGAAAAGTAATGCGATCTGATATAAACTAGTAAAGGTATTGACTAACAAATAAAATTAGTGGAGAACGAAATATTAAAACGCTCCGGACGTGTTCCTTTTTATTTACAATGTTTCCCCACTTGCGTGCGTGGGAAGACACACAGATAGGGTACACACTCCTTTGGACATTCTCGGCTGGAACTGGAAGACCTTATTTAGCTGAATATTTGAAAGGCTGTTGCATTTTTAAGGTCATGATAAACCCATGATTGTAATTACAGGAAAAGAAACACAAAATACTTGAGTATTATGCGAAGTTGGTTGCATAAAATGTTCACTAAAACGGTAATATCTATTTGGCAATCGAACCTGAGGGGCCAGATGTCAGCGCGCAAATGGCGAACACTGTTAATATTTCATTGTAAGGCAAGGCTACTACAGTATAGGATATCGGCTAAAAGTTTAGAGCCGCAGGCCACTGACATGTCTTTTTACACCCTCCTTTATGCAAGTGTTCTTACTCAAACGCACTCTACTGAGTTATATTTGATGAGTCGGCAGCAGCTTGGTTGACTGATCGAATTCAATTTCATGCTATCAGCATAGTCTTAGTAATGCTTGAATCTTACGGGAAAGTTTTCCTATATCTCGTTGTGGTA